AGCTGGCAGCCGGCGCTGAGCGCGCGGGCGTCGTGCACGCTCACCTCACCCGACTTGTACCGCGGACCTACTATGTCCCGCGGACACAGCCGGAGAAGACCCTGAGAAGTGTTTCAACAGTAGGCAAAATTTAAACTATAACAATATTTCATTTTTAATCTTTCTTTTTAGAGGAGAGACTTTTCATCTTCAAAAATACATGGCAATCCCATCGTGCAACACTTTGTGATTAAGATACGAGCTGACATAATCAGTCGCATTGGTATAAGGTTCAGCTAAAATAGAAACAATGAAGTCAACATCAGCTGGGTTGAGGTTTAAATCCCCAAAAAACAGCGCGTTGTCAGTCTCTATTACATTCTTTAGAAAGTGTTGGATATCTTCTGGCTATACCTATCTCGTAATAAATTACAACAAAAGGCAATCAACATATAAAAGTGGTTTGATTTAATAATCATGTTGGTACTTTAGTGCCGTGTTATTTTTTTAATTTTCAAGTGAAACTCATCATGTCATCCGGAAAATTAGGCAGGATTGTTGAAATGTTAGTCACGCAGCGTAACGCATGAGTGACGTGGAAAACGTTTTCATCGACGTTGTCTAAAAACAACTGAGAAATTGTGAAACTTAGATTTTATATATTTCGCGTTTAATGATTGACTTGAAGATTTAAATTCAGGGTATCAACTTTTCTAAAAATAATATCTTCATTTTATTTTTAGAAGAGTTGATACCCTGCTGTTCCTCACGACTTCGTTCGCGTGAAAAAAAAATATGGCTTATATAACTCAAAGATGAATTAACTTTCTAATGGTGAGAGAATTAAAAAAATCGGCTACGTAGTTTTAACGTGAATCACACAAAAATACAAATATTTCCTCCCTATAACAAACGATCTACCTTATAAAACAAGCCAATTGCAAGCCGTCTTCTATACTCCACAGAAAGTTCAGGTCGCTTCCTCGTGATGACCAGCTCGTCGTCTAACACCTTGATGGCGGCCTGCAACGTCTCGTTACAGAACAGAAACTTGCCTTCCAAAAACTTTTCAGTTCTGTACGCCCTAGAAAATGTCGGAGACAATCCCCCGAATACTAATCTGCATTCCACAACGGTATTATTTTTGTTTAATTTATAGAGAAAGCCAGCGTGGACTATGGCGTGAACATTCTGCGCGCGAGGCATTATCTGAAACATGTTCTTGTAATTAAAAATTTAGTTTCTATAAATAAAATGTTATTACGTTCAGACAAATAAAATTAGACAAACAAAGGTTTGTTGTTCTATGATTTTTGTATCTTACCTTGAATGTGACTAATTTATAATCAGGTGTCAGAGGTGGCAAAAGTACGTTGATTATAATTTTTCCAGACATGTCTTCTTTTAAAAATTCCTGCATTGTAACCGTTTTCTTTTTTAAACGAGTCACTAAAATGTAACATTACAAAATTGCAAATAACAGTCGTATTTGTTTAATACAAAATTCTTAGAAATCGTTAGAATTAAATGTTTTGATGGTAAAAATATTATTTATTAAGATAACTTTTCCTCGCCTCTCCTCGTAAGCAATTAAAGAAACAATCCAGTAACAAAATTTTGTTTACATCACCCAGGAATAGTGTAATTTCCTGACAGCGAAAGAATTTTTAAAATTGGATCTTGAGTTTCAGAATCTATTCATTGCAGACAAAAAAACGAAACATTTCAATAATTCATCATCATCATCACCAGCTCTTTATACGTCCCCACCGAGTGGCTCGGAGCCTACCCCAATGCGGGGTGACTAGGCCATAGTCAGCCACGCTGGCCAAGTGCGGGTTGGTTGACTTCACACATATCTTTGAATTTCTTCGCCGATATGTGCAAGTTGCATCACGACGTTTTCCTTCACCGTAAGAACGTCGGGTAAATTATGTACATATGAAAATTCGTAAAATCGAAAATCACATTGGTACGGCGGGATTCAAACCCAAGACCTGTAGATTACAAGTCATGTGTTCAAACCACTGAGCCACCGACGCTCTTTTCAATAATTATCTTTATAATATTAGTATAGATATGTTACGTACAAATTGTGAGCTGTGCTCCAACAGTTTCAAACAAAAGGAATAAATCTGAAGGAAATTCGTGGTGTTTGTGTTTTATCATCAAATTCCCTGCAACCGTACCAATCTGGAAATTAAAAGCATGGTTTGAAAAAGTGCATTAACAATTCATATTCAATAAGTGAAATGTATAACATACGTACATTCCTCACAGCAATGTGAGCCACCATTTGAATGTGATTGTATAATTTTTCTAAATATCTAAAGTAGTATTTTTTACTATATAATAATTTGAATATGTCCAAAGTCTCGGTGAGAGTAGAGCCGGCTCCTAAAACCAGGTTTTGATCCAAAACAAAACCTTTCAGTTCTGATATTCCAGTAATGTCAATTAATATTCTAGGATAATCGAAAATAGGATATGCGCCTGGAAAACAAAAACTAACTATTAATATTAGTAAAATTGACAATAGTAATTATCTTTTAACAATAATGTGCTCGTTGTACCTTTAGCTGTGTTCCCACCAACAAGCATGTAGGAGTCAACATTTTTAGAAGAAATAATATTAAGGGCGTCTTTTAAGGTGTAAACTCTATACCAGTCTCGGCCATCTTCCAGTTTAATGTAAATGGAAGAAGATTTATCAACTTCTTCTTTCAACACCATACACCAGTCGGAATCCTCACAATTGCTTTTATTACATCCATCCTTTGTCTTGTGACAGACATGCAAGTCTTCTATATCTGATATTCTTTTAGAAACGGGCGCGTCTACTGCAAATCGCTTGAAAGCATCAAGAATTGATCTGTATCCAGTACATCTGCACACATTGCTCCCAAAAGACTGCTCTATTTCAAGCATAGTCAAGTTTTTTCTACTTTGAAGCAAGCTGGAAAATTAATTTTCTGAATTCTGTCCTCGTTAAGGCAAACTGTCGAGAGCAATTTGCTGGAGCCAGCAAAGTGCAATGAAACAGTTGTGTAGTATGAATAACTGTACCTGTGCATAGCCATGACCCAGCCGGGCGTGCAGTAGCCGCACTGCGTGCCGTTGTGGTCCGCCAGCGTCGTCTGCAGCTTGCTGTAGCCCGCCAGCCGCCCGCCCGCGCCCTCCACCGTCGTCACCTCCCAGCCCTGGCACGACGTCACCAGCACCATGCACTGGCAACACACTCCTGCCGTCAGTTCGCTGCGACCGGCCTGTGACTGAGCCCAGCGCTGGCGCAGCTCGTACCGAGTTGACGGCGGCGGGCGCGGTGTCCGGTCGCCGCACGCTCACGATGCAAGCGCCGCAGCCCGCTTCCAGGCACATGTACTTGGTGCCCGTCAGCCGCAGCCGCCGCCGCAGGTACTCCAGCAACGTCACATCCGTGTTCACTTCGCAACCAACTGGGAATTAAACATTTCGCAGAGAACATGAAATACCACGTGGGCATAATGACCTAATGCACTTAAACAATACCATAAGTTGCGTTTAAAATTTCAACATTCACTTTGTCCTCGTACCGTTGAAACATTTGTGCTAACAAATAGTTAAACAAATAAAAATGAATCTTTAGGTGTTGTACATGATCAAATGGTTAGAAAACTTTTTTCTTAATTATTTTTGATATTAAATGCATTTATTTTTTTATATAAGTTTTTTATAAAAATAATAAAATGACCGTTCCTTTTCAAAGTATACTTACCGGAGTAATAAATTCCATTAACTTTGAAAGTGATGCGATCCATAACTGTTTAATTAGATATTGGCTGACAGTGTGTCTGCACAGTCCAGTGGCTAGCGGCACGTCAGCACCGTGTCTCACGTAACAAGCAATGTCACAAATACGTCGTCGTACGCTCACTGCTCACTGGTGCTGTCTACAGGCTCGTGTGTATCAACGTAAACAATATTAACACCATTCATGTACCAATTAACATATTGTTAATCATTTAACACACATAATACATCAAAATTTACTTTCTATTTCATGTGAGTTCGCGCACACGAAGGTCAGAGCGATTAAAGCCGTAAGGGAGTTTCGTTTGTACTTTTTTCGTATATATCCTATTTTTTTGTATTTCCTAATTCTACGCGAGTCCTCCGCCGACAATTCCTGCACTTTCACTTCCCATCCTTCCCTCATAAGAAAATAATGGGGAGGTAAAGTGACTAAAACTAGGCCTCCGGAACTAACAATCATCAAATGAAACGTGGAATTGCTCCCACTTCACGCCTGTCTTCTGTGAGTTTTTAGTATTACACTGGGCGAACCGGCACATTCTTGTAAAGATGTTAAAGTGGGCTATACCATTATTATCTTGCAAGAAAAACCGAATCTATAACACAACAGCTGTCAGCCGAACCGACCGTATGTAGCGGGCTTTAGTTTTCTCTGTAGTAAAACCTATGTAAAACTATAATGTTATTTCTGCGTTTTATAAGATAAATGAAAAATAAATTAACTAAATTTATTGGTTACTATCAAAAGCCTCATTAATTGATATAATAATACATTTAAAATACTTCTCTTCAGTTATTTAGCATATTGGGCAATTTTTATCTGTCAATGCCCTACAAAGTAGTCTACGCAGGTATGAGCTTGGCATGTGGTACATGGTAAGCAATTTGTTGTTTATTGTTGACGTTTACTAAATGTTAATATAACTAGGTACTTAGATAGTTTACTATGATGATTGTCAAAAACGATAGGAGTTAGTGGTCACGCTGCATAATTTAAAGACATATTCGATTTTTTTTCTGGTAACTTATCGTTAACACAGCCGTAATCCAAAGATAACGTCATCGATGTTTTAATGTATTTTTTCACGAAATGATTGGTTCATGTTGGTATCGGCATTAGTTATATTGTTTTTGGAAAGTAGTTTTTGATATTCCTTATTCACGACAGTATATGCTTTTTTGAAAATTACTGTATAAATGTTATCACTATACTATGTTGTTATCACTATTCTGGCCTTACAACATTATGAATAAAATATTAAACAAACAATGAACAAAAAAAAATTACATAAACTAAGTAAAATCTTAAAGTTGCAATAAGTTAAAAGTGAAACTGCACGTGCACTGCACTCGCACTGCACACACACTAAAATCATCATCACATCACACTAAGTTTTTTAAATTACTTCACAAAAGGGCGCGAACGCACGAATGACGTCACACACGCGTGATGCGTCGCCCTCGCCCGTACCTCGCCGCTCTCGCCTCTTCCTTACCCCCCCCCCCATCCCGCGCCCGCGTCGCCACGCGGGTCCCGGGCCGCCAATTTTATGGAATGGCTGCTGGCTTCTATTGCGTTAGTTTTATAAAATCCAAATATATTTGAATGCTAAAATGAAGACAAACCTGTTACCTTCTGATATAATTCGTATGGTGCTCCTCTTGTATGCACGATGTGATAAATATTGCAGTTTATTAAACCCAGATCGTTTGAACCATGTATAAATGTAGACTAGGACCATTGATAAAATCATCATTTGCCGATAAACACACGCTATATATAAAAAATAATAAAAGAGAATTGTTAAAATAAAAAACTTCCTTGCGTTGCTCGCTTCAGATCTTGTTCTCTCATTCGCGCCTAAAATCCTCGTTGTTTCTTTAATTTAATTTTGTTTATGGCTTTCTTGACGGCCAGTACAATATTAAATATTCATCCACAATCTTTTTCCAACTTAAACAATTATTAATTTTACAAATAAGTACCTATCTTACAAAACATAATAATTTTTTTAATTTTAATATGCTCTTACTTGTAAATAAATAAAAATATGTTTACAGCTGCTGTCAGTGTTCAGTGTTCATCTGTTATCAATAATTGCTAAACCTATATGAAGAATATGATTTTAGGTTATGTGGGGAAAAAATGTTTTTTCTCTGAATTAAACCAATAAATATTAATAAGTGGTAATCGTACAATAACGCAGTTAGTTATATTTAAAACCGTTTCGTCTCCACTAATAGAGACTACTTTGTTTGATAATATCTTGAACTGCATTGCTTATGCTGTTTATCATTTCATTACTTTTGGACAACTAAATGTAACATGTTAAATTAAATAAACAATACAACGCAGTGCTAATCTCTATAAATGTCGGGAAAGATTAAAATTTTTAATTATTACACAGACTTCTAAAATTATATAACCTATATCATTTATTTATCTAAGGACACCTTGAATGTTTTGTAGTATTGAAATTTATTTTTGGAACATATTTAAGTAACTGACGTTTCGGGTATTTTATGGCATTTGGTAACCACACAATAATTGGAACAAATCGGTGTAGTTTGGTAAATACCAAACTACACCGTAGTACAAGTATAAATATACTGCAATACAATGAATCTGCCAATCCACATTTTATTTAGGAGATCCACTTTGTCTATGGTCAACAATATTTATACTGTAAACATTTTTGTAATTTTATATTTCCGCACATAAAATACTTTTGCGGAACCAAAACCAGCAAACTGGCGCTGGGATTTAATCCACTGTTGCATTTTTATCATTGTAACAATAACGGATAGTTATATAAATATTAGTTCAGTAAAAACCAAGCATTTTAATTTGATAATATAAGAATATGAGCACATTTCTAGCAACCGTTGTTTTAGTTACTTTTGTATAATTACTTGGCAGTTATGGATCGAGTAACATTTAAAGTTAATGGAATTGAATATTCGGGTAAGTGTTGAAATGTTAAAAAAAACCTTGACGTTGATATTTTATCTCATTAAGAAAAGGTAAATCGTAAATTTACTTTTAGTCATGAGGCCTAAATCGAACAAAACTTTGACCTATTTTTCCCCTTAAATTCTCTAATTTAAAATAATAATAGAGTCTAAAAGTATAATTACATAAAAGCTTTTAGTAAATCTGAGCGATGACATCATCATTGTGGTACTTGATTTTTGTCTCAGTTGGAAGTGAGGTGGGCACGGATGTGACGTTGCTGGAGTACCTGCGGCGGCGGCTGCGGCTGACGGGCACCAAGTACATGTGCCTG